TAATTTTTGTTCTGCATATTTTATTCTGCATTTTGTTCATCCATAGGATCTTGCTGAACAAAAGCAGCGCGAACTCCGGGATTCGGAGGATCGGCGGGTCACAGGCCAAGCAGCGGAGATTCAATCTGTCCCTTTGGCTGTCCACAACAAAGTTATTCGATCTGGAAATGACTTAAAAAGCACAGGAGAGATGAGTGTCTTGGGCGATGGTCCTGGAGCTGCGACGGTGGAAGGAACACCTCAGACCATTCGACGCGGATCTTCTAACCTGGTCTCTGGGTTCTCAGAAGCACAACTGGTGGCTGCACTGGCAGCGTGTGAAGAGGAATCTGATGCTGTCGCCACAAATCGCGCCTTGGCTGAGGCAAAGGTTATAATTTAAAATTATTTTTCATCGTTTTTTATTTTTTTTAACTTTTATTTTGATTGCAGTGCTTACTTTCTCCAAACTCAGCTTATAAACGAAAAGTCTTTTCTCACTACCTGGTACTCTAAATATTTGATGTTAATTTGACTTAATTCGTTAAATTTTCAAATTTCGCAATTGATTGTTTATAATTAAGTTTATTACTGACATAAGTTGCAGAGTCATTTCACCTTGCATCATATCATTTAATATGACTAGATTATTTAATATGAAAATCTCCGTTTTATGATTGCGTTTGATTTAGGTTAATTTTTAATCGTTGGCATTTATGATATTAGTAACTTTATCTTTTTTGTGCTTCATTATATCAACTACTTTCAATTGGAGCTTTCACACTTGTTATTTGTCTATATTAAAGGAAGTGTATACATGAGCTCTAAGTTATTTTATGAAAGATACATTTGGTTTGTTTTGCTACACTAACTCCTACCAATTTTAATGTGATTCGCCTATGTTAATTTGATAGCTTTTTAAATCACCATCTGATCACATTCAAAATTTTACTCCTTGTTATTTGCTTTGAAGCTTATGCAATAAAGCAAATCGCCTCCATCTGATGGTTTTTAAGGATACCTTCTAATGGTTTCTCCATTAAGGAAAATATTTTGTAAACTAAGGAAAGGAGCATGATTAGCGGGACATCCTCCGGGTTGAGTTTATTTTGAAGACTTGGATGAATAGATAACTTGCTTCAAGTTTCATATCGGCGATTCCAAACTTTTAGATCATATCCTTTTTAAAGTCTTCAACGTTTAATGACCTTTTATTTTTTAACCATTAAAGATCAATCATTACGATAACAAACACTTATTTGTTTAAGTATATTAGCCTTCTAAACAAGTTTATAAAGTGTGAATAATTTAAATTAAAGTTTTGGATATTAGTTGAGTCGCCTTTTTCAAGGTGGCTCAACCTCCTTTATTAATCAAACGTAAACTAAGAAATAACGATGCCAAACTATGCACTGATTACAGACCGACAGAGGACAATTAGAAGTCAATAATGCCCTTCTACCACTTAAGCTGTCTAATACTTTATTGTATCGCTCCTGGTTTCTGTAAACGTTTATGGGATTGCCAGTCAGGTAGCATTAATGACATTCTTTGTCATATCCCTAAAATGTGATGAAACCTGTTATTATGGGAGAAGTAAGCTATTTAACTTCATAACCATTAAGTATAA